CAATGTTAGCTGATATAGGGTTAGGCTGGAAAAAAGCTAGCGGAGGTCAAACCAAAACCAGTCAATGAAATCTACAACAGTTAGTCTAAGCCACGTAGGAAGGTGCAGACTGGCTTCCTGGTTGGGGTCCTCGGGACAGTAAAAATCAGTGGTTGGAAACAATTGGTGACATGGCTCAAAATCGTTCTCAATGGCTAGCGCAGATGCATCCACTCCTTGTGACTTATGATTTCAAATGAAACTACACTGTTCTTCGTTATTACTATTCCTTTGTCTCACACCTCTGCTCACTGTTTCTATTATGCCTTTCTTGTACTTTCTTCTCTTGCTTCGCGTGCTACACGGAGTGTAGCGACTTGAACTTCCGCACATTTGTGCAAAGTTCTATGTCGAAAACAGACAGACAGACAGACTACTGCTTGATATGAGCAGCAGGTGACCAAGTATCTCAACCAATCAGTAGTATGTAAGTAGTTATGTAAATATAACATGATTGACAATAAGCGATTTATGGCTATCTACAGAAACTTTCCTCTTTTGAATCTGCTGTCATTGAAGATGTTATCTTGAGTTTTTTCTTCAACTCACGTTGCAGAATTCTTAATGCCCACTTCAAACTGAAGTATGGCGCTGAAGATGTTATCTAGTAGGGTAATGAAAGTTTCGCAAATAAGCCTTCTAGAATAGAGCTATTATCACTATTATTATATACCAGAATAGAGTAAGTAGAACGGGACTCGAAAACATGACCCAGTCGGTAAAAGTCAAAAAATTTTAAGTTCAACAACTACATTTCGTAAGTACTAATTAAAACAGAGGTTACATCCTTCACTTATCTGGCCAGGAAGCATCGTTTCAACTAGAGGTACTAGGAACAGATGAAGATTTCAAAGTCAGTCAGAATCGGAAAAGCAAGATATGCCTTCATCAACCTGACCCCAGTTTCGAAATCTTCTATACTTAGCATAAAGAATAAGATTCGCATTTTTAAAAAACCAATGAGAAGTTGGTCCTTCTACAGGGGTTAGAAAATTGCACTGCGTTTCAGTCACGAAAAGGATTTCCAACTAGTTACAACAGCTTCCCACATCACCGGCTGGAGGTTCCATACTGACGATCACATGGTCAGCCGACTAGAAGGAATTAGCTACAAGAAACTCTAGCTGGGAAAGAACCAACCAAGAACTGGTCACTTAACAAATATGTAGGAGAAAAAAGGGAGATGGACCAGGTAGACATTGAGGAGACCATTGAATGATATCGAGCGCAATGCATGCCATTACTCGACTGGAGTCCAAATGAGTCATCAGCGATAGGGTGACAGGGATGAGATCGTTTGAGTTGGGTGAGATGAGAGATAATGGTCAATCGTGGACTCCGTGGAAGAGGATAGCAGAAAACAGAATAAGGTGAAGATGTGTTGATGAAGCCAACCGTATGTTCCACCCGGAACCCAAAGGAATAATAATATAATCATGAAAACAGACAGAAGAACACTGATTATATTATTCAGAAAAGAATGTATTTTATATAACTGGATATATCATGTTCGGCAAAAATCGTCTTGAAATCAATCAGATGGACAGATATATATACATACATTCAGACAAAATGTTTATTATATACAATGAATTTGTTGTCTATTCATCATTCGGCACAAGAATCGTCTTCAGTGTTGATCTACTTGGGTAAGAGAAAATAACACAATGTAAACTCTGCGTTACTAAAATATACACACCCATGTACACACAACGCTATATCACATTTCAAAGGAGTATACATAAGAGAAACTAATACCATATCTGCAGTCACAGAATACATGTGACAAGTGATATCAGCTGATATATGATCAAAATAAACACATTCTGATAAACTGATCATCATCATCAAAACATCTAACCCTATTCACAATTTTCGATTTCAGAATCAACACATGAAGAATTGAGACTGTTAACAGGAGAGAAAAGCAAATGAAATTGTACATACTACTGATCTGTTTAAGTAGTTTGTAACAAAAACTGACAGATATCTTGCAAATTAGCAAATGATTTTAATGCTCAAGTTATGACATTTAGGTAGTTGGAAAGCAAAATGTGAATCATTATGTACACTCATCCAAAAGAGGTCAGAAACAACGATTATCCATCTTTTACTTACTTTGAAGATAAGGATATACATCTCGTCAAATTGTCGCACTAGAGGAGTAAACATATCAACAAAGGGAGTACTGGACAACTGTCTCGTCCTAGTTTGGGACTCGTTATTAGTATGCACCCATCGGGACTCGAACATAGGACCTTTTAGTTAAAAGGCAAGCTCGTAGACCATTGAGCCACTGGGACCCGACTTGAGAGTAAAACCCTGAATTCTAACTTCTGTCAATTCACGACATCGCCCGACCATTTCCCAATGTCTTCTTCGATGAGTTACTGTCTCATCCTCAGCCTGCTGCACCCTACTGGTCACGGCTTCCCACTAGAGCCCCAGGTAACTACCTACCTGAAATAGGGACAGTCGCTAAGAAGCATGAGATTAATATTCAAGTATTGGATTTGTAGGGATTTTGTTTGATTGCATGGAGGATTTCACCATGAGCTGACATCAGTTAGAGAACCACTGGATCGGCTCCCAGTAGCTCAATGGTCTACGACCTCGCCTTGTAACCAGAATGTCCTGGGTTTGAACCCCGGTGAGTGCGTGCTGATGAAGAGCCCCAAACTGGGACGAAACAGTTGTCCAGTACTCCCAGGTTCTCCAATAGTTCTCTAACTGATGTTATCTCATGATTAAATCCTCCACGCAATCAAACAAAATCCCTACATAAATTTCGATAAAGAAAGGAAGATGAAATTTGCAGTATAAAATGATGCCATCATTCTATTTCACAGGTTCTCATCAGCTGCAGACTACCTGAAATTACAATGGTTATATAGATGATAATAACATACTTTAATGTTCAAGTGGTGGTAGGAAAGAGATACTATAAAATTGACGCATCTAAATGAAAGCATTACAATGTTTTTAGTTTAAGTTTTCATCATCAATTTATACGCTTTTAAAGTTGAAAAGAGGGGGAGGGGTAAGACAGAAAACAGAAAAATTGATTAAACAGAACAGTGTTAGCTTGTAGGTTCACATAGCAACTCAGGAAACAAAAAAAACAAAAACGGTTACAGTTTATGAGATTAAGATTTGTTCAGTGAGTTGAGATCACTGAATCTTTTCTACCATCACTCGAACATTAAAGTATGTTATTATCATCTATATAACCATTGTAATTTCAGGTAGTCTGCAGCTGATGATAACCTGTGAAATAGAATGATATCATTTTATACTGCAAATTTCGTCTTCCTTTCTTTATCAAAAATCCCTACAAATCGAATACTTGAAAATATCAAGAAGGACCGAACTTTCCGGTCGTGTTGATCAACGGGAAAAGTAAAATCGAACTGACTCTCAAGGTCCAGATAGTTGAGTGGATAACACTTAGACGTTTTAGAAGAAGAAAATTGCGTCGTTCGAGTCTCAATGGGAACACCATCACTTATTGTTGTTCACAGGTAAATCCATCTGCTGAACCACAAATAGAACAAAATGCACCTCCTGCATTCTACTGTTAGTCATCATCCAGTAAATAACGTCAGTTTAACCCTCAGACATTGTCACTACGAACATACTAGGGGCGAAGATGTAAGGCAGCTAAAGTAGACTGTGGAGAACAGGATTAAATGGAGATTTACTGTTGAAGCTCGATGTTTCACTCAGGACTCAAGGGAATAATAATAATGATAATAATAATCCAACCAGAAATAGAAAATATCTCAAACAGTAGGTAAATGTCGTTTGCTTTCCTTGATTGGAAGTGCCAGAACGTACACCGGTGACAACAAAAGAGAACATGAAGTGAAGTACGCCTTGACAATACGATGAAATTCCCTCTCCTAACGTTACACACAATAACATACAATGATGCCTAAAAGACAACTACTAAACTATGAAATGTAAATTGCTTGGTTGGAGAAATCGACTTTACCTCAATTGAACACCACTGAAGCAGAAACACTGAGGTCTACTCATCAACTGGTAAATCGGTCTGATCGCCATCCAACTCCATCGGTTCAACGACAGACTTTAGGCCATCATAATCCATAGTAGTATTAAAAGCAGTAGTAGTCGTGGGAACTAAATGTTCATCGGTCAATTCTGAAATATAATCCAGGATAGCCAATTGTTCTTCCAATCGACAAATACGCTGATAATGACGATCTATGAGTGTAAAATAAAAGCACAGAGGATAAATTACTTTTGTGATGAGAATAAAAGTTTATACAATGTATTATGTTGCTTTACGTAACTTATATATGAACATATTACACTCAGTGGGAGAAGTGTTACACTACTGATATGTATCCACATATATATATATATATATATGTGTGTGTATGTTGATCTCTCTTTCTGTTTGCTCGCTTAGTCTGTGACCATTTCACTTGTATGAACCTGTCTCCTTTAACAATGTATATTCCCCTTATATTATATATAATATGAGTGTTTGTTGACAGTCCGTTGCTTGGTGACATATATCCATATACGGTGGTTGTTGACATGTCTGCTATAATATTTCGCTATGTATATGTGTAGAAAATCAAAACAAGTGATTCAGCGAAGAGACTCTTTTCAACGAATTTATCATCAAGCTGTACAGTCGTATATATATGGTTTATCAGAAGTTATATTCGGTGAGGGAATGGAATCTTAGGTATGAATGCACAAAATATATATGTGTCGATACTTCATTATAATTAGCCATTCATGTTAAGACTGTCTAATGATTGTTCACACCCTTGTCATATATATTTCGCATTCACAATTTGTGTGACTTACACTGACTTACTTACTTACTTTGGTGTGATACCACTTATTGCTTCTCCTTGTGTTTGGAAAATAGAAGTATCATCGCAAACCTAGTGGTCTTCTGATTTCCGCCTTCTTGCGTCAGGACTATTAGTATCTCCACCACCCCATAACAATAATTTGTCGACGAGTACATAACAACTACGTTATTGAGTCTTCAATAATGTCAATCCAAACACCCACTTCATTCTGGAAGTTGAATCCGACTCAATGTTTCATTTCCTCGATGTTCAGCTGCGAAGGAATGCTGACAACTCGCTAATAACATCCATCTAAAAAGAGCCCACATGGGACAGACTTCTAACCAACTTTTAAAGTCGCGTATTTCTAAGCACAAAAAGAAAAACCTAATATACTCTTTTTCCTTGCACTTAGGAGTCAACTGACGAAGAATTGCGTAATCTTCATAAGACCTTGATAGAACATGGTTCCCCATCTAGATTCACAGAGAAGAATCTAAAACCAAAGGAAAAACGCCTGGAAAGGTTCAAGTTTCTCCCCGCAAAAAGATGCTGATACTCAACCTCTAACTTAAAAGTGATACCGAAGCAGAACTTTTGATGTGGTTTTGTTCTCTGAGCTGGATGGTTAATTTGCGAAGCTTTCATCGCCCTACTGGGTGACATCTTCAGCGCATACTTCAATTTGAAGTAAGCTTTTAGGTTTCTCCACGAGTTTATTAATCATTCCTCCTGGTGACCTTGGACGTGACATAAACAACCAATCACGTCCAAGGTCACCAGGAGGAATGATTAATAAACTCGTGGAGAAACCTAAAAGCTCACTTCAAATTGAAGTATGCGCTGAAGATGTCACCCAGTAGGACGATGAAAGCTTCGCAAATTAACCATCCAGCTCAGAGAACAAAACCACATCAAAATTATCCACCTGAGCTACAAATCTTCTCTATCATATCGAAGCAGAACTTCTCCGTACCCGACTTTTGAAGTCTCCCAGTAAAGCACATTTTACGCCGATATAAGATTAAAATTTTTCTGCAGGAAACTATTCAACCACCATGTGAAAGACAAGTTTTTTTCTCAGAATGGGCCACGTCAGTATGCATATATCAGTTCACGCATGTGGAGCTGAGTACATAGGCCGTAGCACGCGTCCACTTGTAAAACGAGCTCGGGAACACTACCCAGTATGGTAATCAAACGGGGAACCCCAATGGTGTATACAGTTCGGTAACAGAACATCTAGTGAATTCAGGACAGTCAGCTCCATTTGAAAATGTCTTCAAAGTCATAACACAGGATCCAATCAAACCTCTATTGCAAAGGGAGTGAAATCAAGGTATCTAGGAATAGCTGAGTCACTGGCGATTGAAAAACTCAAACTCACACTAAGTGTTCACAAGAATTAAGTTCAACAGTTGTCCTTATCGTGGGCATCATGAAAAGTTAATGCAACCAAAATAATGATTACCCTATCCTATCATCTTTCTTATCCAACGCTTCTTTTTAGTTCTGTGATTCTTACATTTTTAATTACTATCTCTACACTACAACCCAAGGAGTTATTGAATTTTTTAAATAGTTTAAAACTAAACTGTGAGATTTCATGTTGAATGTGATCTACTTTGAATCATTGATCGACCTTAGTTTTTTAACCAACATAACACAATGCATTAAATTTTCTCCAATCATTCTTGTTTCATCTATTCAATTACATCTTCGAGATGCAAAATGCACTCACACATTTTTGACTGACTTTCGAACTACCGATGCGTATTTCTCGGAAACGATAAAAAAATATACGTAACGAACTATGCTTAAAAAAGAATAGCATTGACGCACATGAAACACTTTAGATTGTTTTTTTATTCATTATAGCTTGAAGCCATACAGTATTTTTGGTACAAGTATGAAATTTTCAGCATATGATATCGGTAACCCAAATTTAGCAGGCCGACCATTGATGTCAGGTCTGTGTCGTCAGGGGATCAAACTCCAAACCATGTGCATGGTCGGCGAGAGTCCTAACCGCTGTGCTAACGACGCATACACACTTTAGATTGTTATTTCACTTGAAAATCCTCGTTGAAGACGAAAACATCATACACTGTACACTGTGTAAAAACGTTATGCAGAAGAAAGGTATTATTATTACTACTATTTCCGATTGACAGCGAATTCAGGCCAAGTTAAAATTTAAGCATCTCTAACTACCACTAATCAGCGAATGACCTTGAATAGTCCAATGAATCTCATCCACGTGAGCTGAAGGTTCTATTCCACTTGAATCGAATCAAATACCTGCTATAACGCAGTTGTGTTTCGAGTTTGGTGAGGGTAAGGTTTTCCAGTATTGCTTGGATGTGGGGTTGCTTAAGAAGGAAAGGATTTGTCCATGTAGGTGAGTCATGAGTATAAAAAGCTTCAGCAGGTCGATTGATGGATATGTTCATCGTTTGTGCAATTTGTTTGAGACGAGTTAGTGTGAAGGAAGGTAAGCTGATGATTCTAATATTTCTTAAGAACAGTTTTCGCCATTTCCCATCTGTCCTTTACCCAGCCTGTGAGAGAAGCAGCTGCTGAAAGTGAAAATAGTCTCGTATCAACAGTTCCGATGGTACCAGCACTGCAGGGATATCACATCTTGGAAAATGGAGAGAATTACTTCGTTACAAGGAGGAGGTGTTATCGTGCATGTGAATGAAATTGTCTCATTGAAGAAAAAATACAACCGTGGTCGTGGACGAGCAAACAGTGTTTGCTTGATCGGCTTATATGACACCTCTCTACAGAAAGGATTTGTCAAGAGAATAGCAGACAGAAAGTCAACTATCTTAATATCCAGTATCACTAGAATTGTGAAACAGGGTTCTATAATCCACACCGATGGGTGGAAACGTTATAACTCCCTGTCATCCCTTGGATATTTTCTTCACAGAGTGAACCACTTTAGTGATTTTGTGCATCCCATTACAGAGACGCACACCAATTCTATAGAATCGTTTTGGGGAAGGTTGAAAAACAGGATTAGAGCTATAAATGCATGTCAAAAGGATGTCGTTTATAGTCATTTAGATGAATATATGTACAGAATATGATGTGACTTTATAATTGAAACCCCTATGCTAAACTGGAAGATGTGTTTTTTTATTACATGTCAGAGAGAGGCACCCCATATAACAGTTTTATGCAGTTTCTATGCAGTTTTTTTCATAAATATATGTTTTCCATAACGAAAAATGCCTCTTTCATGTGAATGGTCCGTTTAAGGTCAGTCGCTGATTGGTAGTTAGTGGTACTTAAAGTTTAACTTTGCCCGAATTCAGTTATCCAATACAGATTTTCGATGCGAGAGGTTACCAGCTACAGTGGATGTGTATTGGCTTCTGAAGAATCGCTAATGCAGATCACTGGCTGAGCTACAGATCGATTTCTATAGCCGACAAATGATCCATCGATATGTGAAGGATAAACTGCCGTATGGACTGGCCACTTCAATATGTTTTTATAAATCCACCTGCTCGTATGGAGCTAGTTATATTGGCCGGACAACTTGGTGCACACTTTCCAAAAGCATCTCTGAACATTACCCGTCATGGTTACCAAAAGGACAATGCAAGAGAATTACTAGTTCAATCCTTGAGCAGTTTACTTGTAGAACTCAAGCCATGTAGTTCCACCAGAGTTACCTTTACATATCATCTGCGAGGTGAGAACAAATGGTACAAAGGGCATCAGGTCTCGGCTTTTGTGTATGGGGGAGGCGCTGTCAATTCGTCAATACAACGCCGAACTCTGTGTAGAGAAGAAAGTTTGTCCAGTCTCTTATTCTACTTTGGTCTTAACCTCTTTACGTTTATCACTCTCATATGTTACTTTTGTACTTTTTCTGTTCACCCTCTTCACACTTGTTAAATTGACACTCAACTACTACCTACCTTTCTTCTCACTACTGAATAACAATTTTAACCTTATCAAATTTCTAATTTTTTGGCGTTGAGTACCAGGTAATTTACAACTTTTAATTATTTTTACTTCTAAAGCCACTTCTGAGTAATTATACCAGTTATGTCATCTCCACCCCTATTACTCAATAATAGACTGCTAGACTACTATACACTTTTGGTAAATATAAATACGACTGTACAGCCTCTGAAGGAAGATGATTTCGTCGACAAAGAAGAATTTTCTTCGCTGAATTTATCTTTTATTTTCTTCTGATATTACTCCACGTTACCTAGACTGAGGTTAGTGGAACAGCATATGAAAGAGGGGGGCCACTTGATACCCAGCAGTCAGCAATGAGTTCCACCTATTGTGTGTATGAGGGCTAGGGATTCTACTGGACAGTCCATATCTTGGTTAGAGGATAAGAGACGGTCAAATCCTTAACCCATTACTCACTGGAAATCGAGTACTAAGAGCTCCGCATACGAATATGAAGGCACAACGACCGGAGTTAATCAACTATACATCTCCACTACATTAAATCGATAATCGAAACAAAACACATAGACTTACTTGTATACGGTAGTAACGATTGAATGGTTCGACTAAAATTAGGCCATTCTAATAACTCTTCCGGAGTCCAACGTGTTAGAATCCAGTTTAATACACATTGACTAATCATTGATGTTCTTGTTCGTGTATTCCAATTGATAGCATAAGATAATAGGCGTTGAGTTAACATTTCTACACCGCTATCATCAGCTCCACTTTCACTGCTACAATGAATTTTACTCACAAAACCATCAAGGATAGACAATAGGTTGGCTGCTTGTGTAGGATATTTGCTTTTAATTTGATAATCTTTATTGGTATATCCCTCGGTATCTTGTTGAGTCAATAGTTCTACACACAAAAAATCAATAAATATTTTAATGCAAACTGTTTCATATTCATATCATTCAAGGATTTTCTTCAAACATACAAGAAAGGGAATGTGCAGATAAAAGTTAGGCTTAATACTGTCACTCGTGTTCACATTGTAAAGTCTATAGAAATACGTGGTAAAGACATTCAAAAATCTAGAAACTGAAAAGTGGGCCTTGTCGTGTGTAGGTGTGTGTTCGCGTGACTGATTGCACAGAAGTACAACAGTTCGCGTTGTCATTCTCCATGTAGAACACAGCAGAAGTGTGCACAAGAAAGAATAGCAACCTGGGAAAACACACGAGTTTAGTAGATAAGAGAAATCACAAAAAATTGAATGCATCTTTAGTATTTGAAAACACCTCTGAAGTGTATCACCGATAGTAACACAAGCCGTTGGTTCTTAGTGTCCAAGACTTCAATCAAGTAAATTGATTGTGGTCCTTGGAATTGTAAAAACTAATGAAGGCTGGCTCAAAATTCTTGTTTTCAATGTCTGGCGCAGATGCATTCCCTTTATGTGGTTTATAATATCCAATAAAGCCCTATTGTTCTACTTCCATATTACTATTGGCCTCCCTCACACTGGTTTATTATCTCTCTCTCTCTCTCTCTCTGTTTTGAATCTCACTTTACTCCCTTCTCTTGCTTTGTTTGGTACATGGAGGTAGAGTGGCAACTCGAAGCGCTGTACATCTGTGCAAAGTTCTATGCTGAAACCAGTCATTCAGTGATTACACTGTATATATATGACTAAGAATGAAGTCTGTTGATGCCGCGCTACCAGAAGAATTAAGCTGTTGATTGTTCTGTATTGAAAGGCATTCATGGGCGTGTCGTGTTGATAGAACCTTTGTACTTAAATTATAATGGAGTCTGTGAAAAACATTACAATATTGGTCAAAGTGGACACCCTCTTCGTCTTCAAATGCATGAACATCAAACTGGTCGTCAGAAAACACGATATCTAATCCCTCATAATATCACTGCACGACCACAGACACAAAGTTGTTGGGGATAATGTTCAAATAGTATGGAGAAGATTTGTAGCTCAGGTAAATGATTTTGATGTGATTGTGTTCTCTGAACTGGATGGCTTATTTGTGAAGCTGTCATTGCCTCCTACTAGGAAACATCTCCAACTCAGCGCATACTTCAATTTGTTGAAATGTCCTTTCAGATTTCCCCACGATAGTTTAATAGTTTTCTCTCCTAGTCACCTGACCATGAATATGATTGGTTGTTTTTGTGTGTTTTCCCATACTCTAGGCTACTTGTATTGGTACTGTTTGTTTCTTTAACCTGGAGTTTGACCCTTTGTGTAGGAAATTTCCTCCGTATCAAGTGGTGGTAAATTTTGTCTACGTCAATGTGTCTATTGATTGGCGACTGACAGGAATGCCAGGCCTCTAGAAATTTTCTGGCATTCTTGGTGATTTTTCCTCTGTCTAGTGTTTGAACGTTAGTTATCACAGTCTAATTGATGTCCGTAGTTGTCTGTATGAAGAGATATGAGCGAGGGAGTGGATGTCATGCCTTTTGACGGCTAATTTACGTTCACGAATATGAAGACAAAGAGGACGTCCACTTTGGCCAATCAATAGACACATCGAGATGAATTAAATCACCAATCGATAAGAAGGAAATCACAAAGGGTCAAAGTTGAAGTCAACGATACAATCAGTTCCAATATAAGTAGCTGCCTAGAAGGTATGAAAACACACGAAAACAACGAATCATGTTCAAAGTCAGGTGACCAGGAGAGATGACTAATAAACTCGTGGAGAAATCTAAAATCCCGCTTCAAATTGAAGTATGAGTTGAGTTGGGGTTATTTTCTAGTAGGGCAATGAAAGCTTCACAAATAAACCATCCAGTTAGCTCAGAGAACATAACCACATCAAAATAATGTTCAAATATTAGACAGAAGAAACATTAAAACGACCAGAGAATATCTACAACTTTGGGTATTAATCAAGTGAATCGGTAATCAATAGACATATTGAGATAGACCATTGAGAAGGAAATCACGTGAATAAATTTCAGGCCAAAGAAACAATACCAATCGATATCAATACAAGTAAACTACAAGGTCAGAATATGCACAAAAACAACCAATCACGTACTAGGATGCCAAGAGAGATTATTTATAAATTCGTACAGAATTTCAAAAGCTCACTTCAATTTGAAGTATATACTTAAATCCACAGGAGTAAGTGAATTACTGAGTATGGTTCGTTTCGGAATGGTAACTTACTTCTAGAGTTTTCAGAAATATAAAATACTATTGGTTCTCTGAAGGTTCCCCAGATAGGTAGCATCTAAACAGTGTCTGAGAAATAAGGATTAGCGACATACGAAGTTGAATAACAGTGCTACAGTTTTCAATTATCTCAAACTACCTAATTACATTAGGAGAAAAAGGCACCTACTACCTACCTAAACACAACAGAGAGAGACAGAGCTAACACTTATCGGCCTACAAGGTCAAATACTAACCGTAGGGTTACAGATTCGAACTCTGTTCCGCAGAACAGGCTATCAGTTACACATGTTGTGTGAGATATGGTGACATTGATCAATCAGCCAAGCTGAAGTAGCTGTGGTATGAGATTTCAATGACAGATTCTTGGCTAAAGTCATTGCGTCACATCCCCGCCAGTTCGATCCACCGACGTTTGGATAGTTTTCGGCTAGGTCGCACTATAAGCGTGACTTCTTGTCAACAGTTTGACTGAATGGTTTTAACATAGAACTTTGAACCTGTGTGCAGTAGTTCGAGTCGCCACACTTCCCGCATATAACACAAAGAAAGGGAACAGAGTAAAAAAAATGCAAACTAGAGGCAGTAAACAGAGATACGAGGCAAAAAGAAAAAGCCATTGACAACGATTTTGAGCCATATCACCGATTGTTTCCAGCCTTCGTTGGTTTTTACCGTCCTGAAGACCCCGACCAAGAAGTCTACACCTTCCCACGTGACTGGCTGTTGTGGATTTCATTGACTGGTGCCATGATTTGATCTGGCCACCACTGACTTTTTTCCAACCTGCTCCTATGTTAGCTAACATTCCCTGTTGTCGAGGAAGGCGATGACTACGCATGTGTGTGTAACAAATGTCCTAACCATCTCAGTTGATGTAGCTTAAGGGTTTCGTTTATTGATTTCCCCTCCTTACCTAGCACTCGACGCCTAACTTCAGTATTGCTTACCCTACTATACCACTTCACACTGGAGATAGAACACAGGCATCTATGACCGAAGACAACCACTCTCAATGGTCATGTCTTGGCGACAACCATAAAGGTGAGCAGTACACATGCCCTTTGGTCAACAACCGGCCGTATATCACGTCTATTAAGCCAGGAACGGCGTAAACTGGAACATGAGAAAAGATCCACCTGTATCCACGTAGATATTTTGTCAGCGACCAACCCCGTTGGAGCTGGTTGAATGAGTGAAGTGGTCAACACGCTCCACCGAACACTTCACTCCCTATTTCTAGGCTAGGAGTGAATTTAAGCCAGTCCCGCCTTGTAGCATCATCCTACATTTGGCAGGAGCGAATTGCATGCCAACAGTACAGAAATATAAGTGGGTTTTTGAGTAATTCTTCTTATTTCTTCAATACACAGATGCGCACACACACATACAGGCATACAAACACACCAAAATCCATAAATGTCATAATGAGTATCAGACAACTACTTACCCTGAAAAATGTCCAATGTTCTTTTAGGTTGATCTAATTTGATAGCTAAGTGTAAAGCTTCAGCATACATACGTTTATGCAGTAAATTGTCTAATTCTTGTTGTCTAAACATGAACAGTAAAAAAGCCAGTAAAAAGGCAAATCAGAATTATATCAGAAATGTAATGTGGGACAAGTATAAGGTGCTATGGAATAATCCCCGGTCGACAACTCCTACCTTGTCGTGGTGATCGGGCTTAAAATATCGCAATGACCCAAAAAAAACTAAATTGCCTGGGATCAATGTTCCTTTAGGTCCTATCATGTCAGGAAAGTTGTTGTTCAGATAGCGGTTAGACTAAAAGCAGTTACCATGCGGTACACGGGCTCCAGAATCCAATCGGATTAAATGGCGTATGAGCTTGTATTGATCACTGGCAACCATTGGAATGTAGCTCCTGACGCTGTTCCGCTGCCTTGCGGTTTAGATTCCAAGTCAAAGGCTCGGTGGGGGGGGGTGATCCCTTAATAAAACCACCTGCTTCGGTCTGGACACCTGGGCAGTATCTCCGCTCTCATACAATAAATGAATGGAACAATAGTCAGTTAGTTTTATTATCATATATACAGCATGCATAGTCAGTAAGAACATGAGATGAAATAATTCAATGGTATATATATATTGAAAGGAGTGTAAACTACAGAGATAAGTAGGCATATAGAAAAGCCAAATCTCTGCATACAGAAAAAGTTTATTCAGTCCCCCCACCCACCCAACATTCATGGTCTCAATCACTCTATGCTGAAGCGTGATAGTCTTCATTCATATTTCGGCACTCTAGTTATTTTTCGTTCTGTTCATTCAATTTGTATACTCTCCCATTAATACGCCAATTGTTACTATTATTCTTGTTCTCACTTTGAACTGTCCCCGGTATTATTTCACAAGTTACACGTATCATTTAAAATCAACTCCAGTTTACAACGTTAAATTGTTGACTGGTTATAGGACAGCGTTTCCTGGAATTCTAGGAAGAAGTAGTGACCAGTGGGGTTCATACTGCGGGAGTGAGAACAAATGCTTGCCAACGAAAACATTGGCTAATTTTCACGCTAAAGTCACGAATTAGTAGAAAGTGGAATTCATGGGCCATTGAGTCAGCTCCCAATGTCTGCATGGTCTATAAACGTGTCTTGTAAATGGAAGGTCCTACATTCGAGACCCGACAGGTGCGTCAGTGATGAACAGTTCTAAACTAGGATGAAATAACTGTCTAGTACTCCATTGCTGGTTTCCAATGGTTCTCTAACTGATGTAAATCCGTGGTCAAATTTGATAAATAAATTCCATGTTTTCAAATATCACACAATGTTACGTAAGGTTTTTATTTTATCCGCTTACTAATCCTATGTATACATATTCGAATAAAAATAAAAACGTTACGTAACATTGGACGAAATTTGATATCTTTGAATTAAATGTTGCAAGAGGGAAATGATTTAGAATAGCAAGTGGAACAAGTGAAATAATACCGGGGACAGTTTAAAGTAAGAATAATAATAACAGTAAAGATTGACGTAATAAAGAAAGAGTGTACAATTATAATAAAGGTTCTTTTTGTATTTTCCAATGAACGGAGAACAAAACGGTATTGTTTTTACTGACATAATATTAATAATACTTTGATAAAGCTATTAGTTGCATTAAATAGTAAAACCTCAGTAAATACGACAATATCACTTTGTTTTTCATTCATTCATTGGGAAATACAAAAAGAGCCTTTATTATAATGAATATCATATACTAAATGCCTAAAATTTTTTCAAACTGTTAGAAGAGTATACAAATTGAATAAACAAAATGAAAAAAATATTGATAGAGTTAAAATATGATTGAGGATTAACATACTTTAGCATAGAGGGATTAAGACCATGACAATTGGAAGGGTTGAACGAACTATTTCTGTTATACAGATATCCTGTTTTTCTATTTCGATAGTCAAAGCTTCAGAAATACAGATGAGTCGGGTACGTAGGGATTTCGGTAAATTACTTTTCGCCTTGCAGATGACTTTAAAGGCGGAGACTATAGAGATAGGATGATCATTATCGACCAGATGTTCAATAATCGCGCTTCTTATTGCTACACCTTATTACACCTTTTCGTAACCATGCATGATAGTGTTCATGCACCCTTTATTACGTCACGTTGAACTGAATGCTCTCAGTGGTATGCGAATCAATATGACTTTTTTCTTTACCTTCACGTTCCCAGTGGAACATACAGCACCTTCAAGCTAGAGGTTTGAAGTTTCTGTAGCAGTGTTTAACTTTTACAGGATGAGGTTGCTAGCCTCATGCCTAGCCTTTCCTCTTTACCGGCTTTTTATTGACGAAGTAAAGAAGTGCGTCGGTTGGGGATCGAACCCTGGACCATGAGGATGGTCGGCGAGCGTTCTAACCACTGTGCTACTAACGCAAAGATCAATATCATGAATACTACACAGAAAAAACCAACCAAACACAGAGGCTAGACGTAATAAGTACAAGGGTGAAAATAACGACAGTAATAATAATGATGATGATAAAATAATAACGATGATGTGGTGTAAATTTAAGAGTACTACCACTAGTGAACAATTACCAAGTGAGAATGAATATATACAGTGAAGTGAAATGAACAGGATTGTGTAAATGCAATAACCAGTTTCAGAAATATTACGTAAACCTAAGATGATATAAATCATAAGAAAGTTGATGAAGCCGTAAAAGGTTTGAAATGAATGTTTGTCAATGAAACAAACGAAAAAATAGGAGAATACAAAGCATTGAGATAGCAATTTAAAGTGCGCATGTTAATGAAAGATTTGATAACCTCACTGTACGCTAAAGTAAATACAGAGGTGATATATACTTCTTCTGTATACACCACATTTCTTCCCTCTTCTTTTATGAGTATGCGCTGGTTAAAGGCATGACAAAGTGGACATAAAAATCCAAAGTACCATGTTGCTTCGTTAATCAATTAGGAATCACCACCTCTATACTAAGTTAAAAGGGCACATTGAGGACGTAAGATAGAAAATTTTGTATATTAAAATTAATATATTACTTATGAGTAGAAAACTAACCACGTTATCCAGATGTTTCAAACAAATAACATTTGATGATACTCAAGCAAGATTTACAAATCATCGGATTTTTAACAGTCGATGTTTAAAAAGTCATATAATTCTGAAATATTTACATCTACGTACTCCAATTACTTCAAACAAAATAACATCAACCGCAGAACATGTCAGTAAATTATGTCTAAGAGAAGAATTACATCGAGTTACTGTAAAAGTGAATAATATACGAAATCAAATTGAAAAACTCAAACACAAACTCAAATATATGATCAATGACAAAGATTATATAATTGTTGTTGAAACATCCAACAAAGCCAGAGAATCCGCATTAAGAAAATCAAAAATCACGCAAATCAAAAAATTCAACAAACTAATAGAAGAAAAGAACACAACAAAAGGAAATTTATGTCAACACTTCATCCTCTATCGACAGAACAAAGTGGGTGATCAACCTCTCATCAAGGGAACTAAACTCTAATGAGATAAAAGTACTTGAGAAAGGACTAAATTTCAACGTAACAGTTAATAAATTAAAACCAGAGGACGTCATTCCTAACATAGAAGCAGCACTAAACTCAATAGATAAGACTACAGCAGAAGAGGTTCGAGCACAATGTGCATTAACCCTAAAAAATCAAAAGAAAACAAAATCAAACTTAACAAATCGGAAAGGGAAGCTTTAATTAGTCTTAAACAGGATAAAAATATTGTCATCGCAAAAGCTGACAAAGGAAACGCCACCGTAGTTTTGGATAAATCTGACTACATCAAAAAAGTTACTGAACATATTCAAACGGGTCCATATGAGGAAATTAAGAAGCCTGTAGATACAATAATGAATAAGGTTAAGAAATCTACAGCGGAACTAATACGCAGAATGAAGCCATCACTGGGTGAGTCTAAATGGTTTAATTTAATGCCTAAAACTAATAATGCTAGTAGAATATATGGTACTATTAAAATACATAAGCCAGGTTACCCCATAAGACCAATAGTAGATTTTAGAAATACCCCCACGTATGAATTATCAAAACACTTAGCTCTAATACTTTGTCCCATTAGAAATCGTTCAAATTCTAGACTAATTAATTAATTCATATGAGATGAAAAATAAACTAAATGACATTCAACTAGCGAATGATGAAACAATGGTTAGTTTTGATATAACTAGTCTTTACATTAATATACCAGTTAATATGGCCTTAGAAGCAGTTAAAAAAAAATTAACTGCGGATCCGGAACTCAGTCATAGGACAAAGCTGTCCATTGAAGAAATTATTTTAGGGATTCAGTTATGCCTCACATCTACTATCTTTAAGTTCCAAGGCAAAATATATAGACAAACAGAAGGTGTAGCAGTGGATGGATCACCAATATCCCCTATCGTAGCAGACATATTTATGGACAGCTGGGAAAATAGTGCCCTCAATACATTTAACCCTACTCCGAAAATATGGTGGAGATATGTGGATGACACTTTCACAGTGTTAAAAACAGAACACATCTCTAGCTTCTTGACACATATAAACTCACAAGTTGAGGGAATAAAATTCACATTTGAATCAGAAAATGAACAAGGAGAATTAGCTATGTTAGATTGTAAGATAAAAAGAATAGAAGAAGGCAAACTACACACTAGTGTTTATAGAAAACCAACGCATTCTAATAGATATTTAGACTTTAATTCGTCTCATCCTTTAACTGTTAAGGCAGGCTTAGTTAAATGTTTAACAAACCGAGCAGTGGCACTAAGTAGCGCAAAAAAAGATCTAAATGATGAATTAAAACAGATAGAAGAAGCGTTGGTGTTGAATAACTATCCTATAAAATTCATTAGGAAGATCATTAAAGGCCAAAAACAAAATAAAAATAATTGTGAAACTAGTAATAATAACATAAATAAGAAAGAATATAAGTCATCCACAGTTATACCATATAAAGAGGGGACATCTGAGACACTACGTATAATTCTGAATAAGGCAGGAATTAGGGTG